ATCACATGCGAGAAATTTATGTATATCTGCATCGAAACTGTTACGAATATTATTAAGCTGTAGATTTTCAAATGAATTTATATAGTTCCTTTTATATAAATTTGTCCTTTATTCATATCAACTTTTAACTCAGAATTTGATTTCCTGTATGAAAATCATGTCGTCCAATTAACTAGAAGCTATTTACATATTATTTCTGATATTTAGCAAAATATTCGTTGTTTTAATGAAAAGCAAATTTTATTTGCATTGCTCATCTATTGACAATAACATGTAAACAAAGTATTCTTGAAAACGCTTAACTTCTTGAACAATCGTGCGTGCAAAGCTTATGCACATTCGGTAAACATGGAAAATAATATTTTACTTTACTTCCAAAAGTTTTTTCGCAGAAGTCTATGAGCAAATGTTTTTGATTTCCTTAAAATTTTTACCCTGTGACTATGACTCATTCTCGAGGATTCAAAGTTTTACACCGAACTTGGATGAAAGGCCTCAGGTTCCCGCTGCTTTTGACCATTCTCAAACTAGCTTTCAAGACATCGTGGGGCGCCAAGTGCCTCGCCTGTGGCCACGTCTGTTAACAATAAAACTGATCTTTCTGGTTACCGACCGCATTATTTCCTTTTCACGGAATACAATAATGTTTACGTCCATTCCCAAAATGCCAATATAAAACAGCAATTGGATCGTTTCAAGATATTCGATGATTAAGAACTTTAGGTTTTCGTTATAACACTGTGAAGTTCATCAATTCCAGATTTCTACAACTTTTCAATTAAATCTAAAAGTGCATTTTATTTCCCTTTATAACTATATCCTTTCAGTACTTACTCTTATTATTATTATCATCATCAAAGAACCGTTTTTTGTATACTGTTTATAAGGAACAGAAAATGTTTTACTTTTCACTTAGCACTGTTATCTCTGATGAAACAAAACTTGGTATGTACAAAATTTATTCACTTGTAGAGCAATAATCACATTTAGCCTACAAATAAAAGATTTAAAGAACTACCCAGATTTTTCAATTCAGAATTTAATATCTAGTACCAAGTACTTTAGAACTCTGAATATTTGGAGTTATAAAATACTTGTTTCGTATCCGTAATTAGTTCAACAAAGTAAATAAATATTTTCTACATGCGCTAATCCAAACTTTAATTATGAAACAGAATATGCTCTTATTCAAGAATAATTTTATTTTAAATATGTGCATACTGCTCTACTTAGAAAAAAAAAATGATGAAAATTTCAAATGAAGCGAGTTTCAAATGAAGCAACACAAAGCGAGTTATGTGTTTCTTCAACAAAAGAAAAATAGCTTTCTGGCAACATGGTGGTTAAAAAGAAGATTTTTCTCTAATAAACTGGCTAAAATAACGCTGATTATTGTTTAGAAACCAAACCTATATGTTCAAATATTTGATTACTATTATATAAATGTTCACATAGAATTAATTAAAATTTACCATAAAATATTTTAAGAATATTTATTGTTAAAATATCCACATAAAATTATCGCCCCCCCCCAAAAAAAAGAAAGAAAAACTTAACTTAAATGGTGCAGTGTAATAAAATCTATAAAGACTTTATATTTTTAATAAACGTGCACATATAAAATTTCAAATACACTCAAAAAATCCTTTTGCGACTACAGTATTTTAAATTGTTGCATACAATACGTCTGCATGCATATAACAGCATTCGAAACCTGTTAAACATTTGTATATCTTCTTTTGTAATAAAAAATTATGAGATTTTCATAAAAATTGCAATCTGATCCTGCAATATCCAACTTAATAGCTAATATGAGTTTAAACTGAAGGCATTCTGTACCATTTAAATTATACATGGCCATAAAAATTTTAACTTAAATGACATACGGTGCATTTAAATGATGTGTATAAGCATAAAAACTTTTTATTAACAGGGAAATTTATTATTTTCATAGTTATATGAAGCTAATGATCGTTATAACGTCATTTCGCATCCTTAGAAAATGTCTTTGAGTATCAACGGTATATGAAAATGTAAACCAAATAATTCAATTGAAAATAAAATTCAAAATAAAAATTGCACAATGTTATGGAATAATGTTTAAAAAATATTATTCGTTTGTTCTATATTGCACGCTAGACGTAATTAACGTCAAAAAAAGTTGAATGTGATTTTAAGAGTGATGATGTGCGTTCTACTTTTGTTAGCATTATTTCGATATTTTGAAACTGTAACGTATCATGGAAAAATGTTCGCTGAATTACAATTTTATTTATTACCTGATCTTTGGATACCTTGCAGATTGCCGTGTAGAGTCATATATGATGATGGAAAACATGGAAGGTAAAACATAGTCGGACACATGCATGAATTTTTCAGGAAAACACAGAAACTCGTTATATCTTGTTATGCTCATAGCAGGAATGAATTGCACTTTTTATTTATTCGTAAAAGGCAGGGATTTTTAATTTTATTTTCTGCATCTATGTAGCGCGAAAAATTCTGATAGTCATGTACAATTCACGCTGAAAACAATCTGCGAAACTAGTTGAGAAATGAGAACTGAAAGCTGTAGTCTCAAATTCCGGGCATTCGTAACTTAATACATTCTTAGGAATGGCCAGTCTTCATCAGTTATTTAGCCATTCCATCACCGAGAACTTTGCTGTGAGTGCGACCGATCTTCTGCCGTGAGAAAGGGAAAAGTTTCGTCGCAGTTTTGATGGAGAACACTCCGAGGGACTCTCACCTCTCTTTCCTAGCCAGCAAAACACTCGAGAAAGACTTCCGACTCGTCAGTCTTATAAATGCTTCTTTAGAACTGGTAAGTAAGAACTTAAAAATATAATATATATTTTAAAATATTTTAAGGAAAATTTTAAAAGAAATTCCATATGTTTCTGTGAGACATCTAGTTAAATAAATTGCAGTGTTTAGATTTTATTTATCTCTTACGATCTGGTCTAATACTTATTTTCATTGCAATAAAGTTAATAAAATAATTCAGCAGAAAGGTTTGCAATTAGAAATCGCAATTTACAGGAAGGAAGAAAGTGCCGCATTTGAAGAGTTCTTTTACTATGCTTCTATTCTATTTGGCTATGGAAAACAACGTAATTTTGAAAATTGTTGATGCACAAAATATATTTCATAAGTAACTTCAATTTTTAATTTCAGAATAATAGGGTGAAGGGTAATAAATTAGGTGATAATCTAAACATACTATAGAAATTGCAATTTAAAAGAGAAACCCCGTTAAGGGGCCCTATGATCCAGCTTGCGAGGACTACCAAAATTACTTAAACCGACCCTAACGATACGATATGTTTTACCTAATTGTGGAGAACAGTTTTTCCTGCTATTCTGTTTACATTATAAGATTTTTTCGCCCTTCTTTCCGCATACCATCGTAGTGTAACTGCAAGCACGCTAATACGTATTCGGAGGATTCGGAATTCGAATCCTGGTGAGAGTACTGCGGATTTCTTGTTTCGTGAGTTCTAAAAAGCTTTACAAGGGGCGCCCGAAATAAAAGATGGTAGACAACAATTCGTCACTACCAGGATTTTTCGACTGAGCCACCTCATACCTAGTCACCCTTAAAAGAGAAAGTATATAAGACTTCTTTTCCTCACGTGTTTCATGTTTCCTGGATCGATTTAACCTAATGATGCTACGATACCGTAACTGATCCTGCTATTCTGTTACTTATATAATCGACTCAAAAATAGTAACCAATGACACAAATAACAGGATCATGTTCCGAAAATGTAAAGCAGGCGTTATTCACGGTGGTGTCAGTAACGTTTTACAAGAACGTTCTGAATTATGCCTATCTGTTACACCTTTTATCCGTATAATCGCACGTCAATTACCGGTATTAACAGTTTCCATTACATGTAAAGACAGTATAAAAGTGTCTCATAGACGGTATAGTGGTTAGGGAAGCCTACTACCACACTGAAGGTCCCGGGTTCGAATCTCGGAGAAGACATGAACGTTTGTAAATGTATAGTGTCGGTGCGGCATGGCGGCACTCTAAATATGCGGCGACCCGAAAGTCATTTCGTGGGGATTAGTGGAAGGGGAGAGGAGTGGGATATCCCCGGGATGCTCTCTCTCAAAATTTGGGGTGGAAAATAGAAGTCCAACCTCTCTTCGGAATAAGCTCTGGCAACCATTGTTCCATGTAATATGGACACGACAACAACAACAAAGTATAAAAGTTTACGTAGTAGAGCACATTAAAACGTGTCACATGGACAGTGTATGTTCATGAAGGGTATCTTTTTTTATATGTTTAAGTATGATATTCATAAATGTCTCTTAAGAATAGTTTAATATATATAAATCAAATACGTATGTGCATTTATGGATTCTTTGAAATACTAATGTTACTTTAAATATCATTATGATGTAATAAATAAAGATGTATGCTTTTTAATATTTCACAATGCATTTAAAAAGAAAGCTAAGAAAAAGGATGCTTTCTCGTGAAGCCTTCAGGTGCAGAATTCAAAAACACTCACGAACATGCCCAATAAATAAATAAATTAAACTAGGGAAAGGGCACTCTAATATTTCTGTGTTAATGGATTTAAATTTTCTACTACCTTCCAATCATGAAGATCAGCTTAATTTCCAGATATATTGGACAAATTTCAAAATATTCGAATATACTTTTTAACTAACTTTTGTTTACTACCAGATATAAAATATTTCATCATAGTCATTTTTCTATGATAATTTTTCTAAAATTATAAAAACATTTGTTGATGTCGACGAGAATACGAAAATATGTTGGTTTTCTGCCATAATTATCTGATTAAATTTTGAAATTAAAGTAACTTTTGCAATGTGTGGAACTTACATCACTTGCAAGGAAAGCTGCTAGTTAAATTCTCGACTTAATGAAAAATTTTAAAATTAACACCTCCGTTTTTGATTAACTATTAAACTATTACCGTATAAAAAACACTATAAAAGCCAAAACGTCTCTGCAGTGAATGTGTTGTAAATTGTAAAGTGCCTAGTAAAACATTTTTAATTTTTGGTCGATGGATTAATCAAAACAAAATGTTTTTTGTACGTTTACTTTTTTATCATCTCACTTGACTTATGGATCTGCACACAGTAGACTTTAGGCTGGAGCTCTTTCCGCTTCTCCATATGTTGTCCCACAGCACTATTTCTCTCAAGGACGAAATCACTTTTTTCCCTCAAAGTACTCTCCCTCAAAGTATGCCCTGCGGTCCAAAAAACGTATGTAACCAATCAAATCCTGAAATTACTGACGTCCGGCTGACTCTGACCTCAGTCATTCTTAAAGAAGAACGATTCGAAAGACCGGGGTTTGAGGTCATCAAGAACACCGCTAAAATTATTCCAGATCGAAGGGAAGTATTGATGTCTTTGTTTTATCCGCTCTACTAAAAGTGTAAGTATGCATATTTTCACATTTTTAATCGTATTTTTAATAATGAAAGTTTGCTAAAATTGTTTTGTATATGTCTAAAATCTTCCAAATGCTATAATCATATTGATCTCAAACTTATCATAGCTGCCAACTCAAGTTTTCAACTCAGTCCCAGTTTTTCATCACATCTCAAGGTAAATTACCAAATCTCGAGATTTTAAAGTCTCGAAATTTAAATCTTTACTAAAGAAAATTTTTCCCAGCAAAAAAAAAAAAAACGAAATTTATCAAAATAATGAAATTTTTAATTAGGCGAATTGTATTCGTCCACCTGTAATGATTTTCATAATAATTTTTCTTGTTAAACTTTATTTCACAAAACTGTATTTTTTATTAATTTTATTGACCTTAATAAATTTTTCTTATCGGATTTCGTTTAATCTGAGTTGTTTTAATCTGCTGTAGACATCAGTAGATTTTTATGTGAAGATTTAGGCAATGTTTAATTAGTTAATTTTCGTGTTTAATTTTGTTTACTTTAGTACCTGGCATATTACTAATTTTATCTAGTGTTATTATGTATGTTAATTATTAATTTCACATGCATCGTATATTTAAAAATACTTTGATAAATAAAAGCTTTGCTTCACTACTGAAGATTTCCTCAGCATAAAAAAAGCGAAGAAATAAAAAATTAAAAAAAAAATGAAATTAGTAAAGAGCATAAATTTTAGACTATCTAATAAAATGCTAATGCATCTTACATCAAAATTGAATTACAAGTACTATAGTAACCTGAACCATCATGCATCATAAACTGAATCAAAGCGAGTTTGGAATTTCTTTGAAATGGTATAACCTCGCAGAGTGAAAAACCTTTCATTTTTCTAGAGCAAACCCGTCTTTAAAGAAAATCTCCCGTCTTTTAAGATTTTCCAAGGCTGGAAACTATGATCTGCATGCATATACGATTGTGTTTATGGCTTTAGTTTAGAAATACAATTTTTATACTATTCAAATGTAGTACTGGTATTTTATGCACGTACTGTTTTCATTAAATTGTAAAGAAAAATTAAAACACTAAGAGAATTAGATATCTTATATTTACACAAGCAATGAAATAGACATTTTTTATTATTTAGAGTTAAAAACTGAAATTTTGGCTAGTTTTTTTAACTTTTTGATAACTATTTTAGAGCAGTTTAAGTTCTCCAGCTAAAGCGGCAATAAATAAATAAACAAATAAATAAGTAAAAATTTTAACTTTCAATAAATCACTGGAACTGCACTGGAGCGATGTAAATGAAATATCTTCATCTCACATTGGTCTAAGACATTACGTACCAAGCGAATTTAGTCGTAAACCTAGAATGCTTTAAGAAATACAGAGTTGGAAGGCAACAAAGTTTCATTTATTTCTTTTATACACTAGGCCTGTTGTTATGAATTCAATTTTACCATCTGCTATGTACAACAACTTTCTTTTACTACATGTGGAAATTTTTATTTTAATAAAGCCTTCAGATATTCCTTTCTCTAATGATGCATTTGCAGAAAATGATTTTAGAGCTTTTAAACACAGTATTCGATTACATGGGAAATATTTATTTAATAATTTATTTAATAATGTATAATGTTCTATCTTTGATTCATTTAATAAATGATGTTCAAGTATTTGGGCCTCTTGACACTTTTTGTTGAAAACATTTGAACTTTTTGGGGGAACTGAAAAATATGCTTTGTGTTCTTTCAAAACCTTTGCAGCAGCTTGCACGCAGATATGCTTAACAAACACGTTTTGACGAAGAAAAGGAATCAATAAGTGAAATTAGCAAAATATATCGTTTCAACTCTCAGAATTTAAGATATCTGCTGACACTGGTGATAATTGTTGTTTATTTATAGACAAATCAGTTCTAATAATCAAATATCTGTTAGAAAATTCATCGGAAAAAGAAATTGTTTTTTTACAGATTTAATAAACAAAAAGAATTTTAGTCATCCTTTCAGTTCTCTAAATTTAGGTGTCATTATAATTTCAGAACTATCAATAAATTTAGAATCTACATCAGTGGAATCTGTTAACTGTATATATATATGCTAGTGGCATATAGGGATTATTATGTTTGTTATCCATTATGTTTTTAATAAGGTGTACTAACAGAGTTTCCCTCACCTAGAAAATTTTAAACTGCCATGGAAAATACAAAATATATTCAGAAAGTCAGGGAGGAATTTTCCCAGAATGTCAGGAAGTTTGAGTTCGTATAAGACAAGCTTTTTAATGTTGATAATTAACTACATATAAAGTAAGATTGCTTCAATTCAGTCTCAGAACATTTACGGATTTATTTCATTACATTCACAGAAAATGGCATTTAGCGTTGTACATTTGCTAATGACCGATGAAGTGGCTGTCGTCCAAGCAAATGAGTGTCAGATGATAAAAAGGGACATGTAACTGGCCTTCGTATAAAGAAAGAAGTCACATGAAAAGAGCAATTCTGGAACACAGAGAACCAGATACATCCTGAGAGAATTTTTATATTGTTATCCTGGGAGAATATTGTAAGTATTCTACAAATGATTTTTACGTCTGTTTTCCCATATTAATTTAATTGGTAGGAAGTTTTTTCGAGAGCATAAAATTGAAAAATAAAATTGTTTTCTGAATTGAAACATTGAAATTTTAAAAAAATGTTTTGATGCGTAGGAAAATGTATTAAGCATACTTTAATTTTTCTAAACAAATATTATTTATCCTTATTCTCTCTAATTAATTGTGCTCATATTATATCAGCTTATGTTTTAATAGTTTCGCTCCGAAATAAATCATATCTACATTCTTAATTACGGTTCATAGTAAGACTCTAATATTAATATACTTTGCTAGTTTGTGAATTTTAAAACAACCTCTTTAAAAACTTATCCATATATAAAATAATGGATGCTCAAAGGAAGACTGAACGAGAGATTTTAGCCTGTGGATCCATATAAATGTCAAATTCAATTCCATTGAGTGAAGTCATGAATCAGGCTCCAGAATGTTAACACTGTGTTTAAATTTAATTAAAAAACGCCTATCTATATTTTATTTACAAATCTGAATAAAAATATAATTTTCAATAATAAGATTTGAGTTTTCTATAAGAAATGTTAAAGTGATTAACGATTCTAAACAATAAATATGCTGTTGAGTTGAAAGATGAGACTGTATCTAATGAAAAATGTATGCATTTTTGTAGCTAATTATGCTACAGTTGAATTTAAGTCCAAAAACGGCTTTAAAGACATTGAATTTTAGATTCAGGTTCAGACTTTGAAACACCAAAACAGAAGCGAAAGAGGCCATTAACATTCTGATTCTGATACATGTATCAGAATGTTAATTCTTTGGATGATAAATTAAATACAAAAAGAAAAACAAAACAGAATTACCTCCTACTAAATTAAATTATAGCTAAATAAAAAGAAATCCCTTTTAATTTTTCCTCATGCGGTAGTAAATTAAATTTTACTACACTTTCTTAAGCTTCTTTACTTAGTTATATTAATTACAGTAGTAGAAGATGTTTTTAATCATTTATTTCAGTTTTTATTTTTTTTTATAATTAAATCGAAATTATATGTTTAATTCCATTATAATAATTTTGCTTGCTGATTATTTTTTCCTTTATCAAAGTTAAATTTTATTTTGAAATTTTGCATTTTAACAATTTCACATTATGAACGTTTTGTCTATTATAAGATTTTTGAATTCTACATTTTTCTTTTTCTTGGTGGCTTGTGCTTTATGTCACTGTACTTTTTCAAGTTCTTTTTATAAAAAGTTTGTACTTTAGTAGTACTTTTATAGTACATTTTATATAAAAAGTTTCTAACTTTCAAATTAACAAAATTTGCTCTTTTCAAAAAAGTGTTGACTTTTTCATATTTTTATATATTGGGTAACTAATTTTGAATCACGTCAAAAATTAACTAGCTATTTAGTCATTTACTTTTATTTTTCAAGAATGTTCATTTCAGAGACACTTAGCGCTATGTTTAATTCCTCAGCATTAACTTTGCTTATTAGCTATTTTTTCACGATCTAAATTCATTAATCTTTTTTTTAATTTCATAAGTTTACTAAGTCCATATTTTCAAAATTTGGCCAGCTTTGCCTTCTCTGTGGTTTTGAATTCCGCATGTGTCTTTTTTTTTTTTTTTTTTTTTTTTTCATGTACATTATGTCATTCCTATTTTCCAAGTTATTAATTTTTAAAAACTAAAAGGTAAGTGATATCGTGATAAATACTGATTTCAGATACTTGCAGTTTTTATCATTATTTTAATTTGCCTCATCGGTTGCTAAATGTATAACACTAGCGAAGACTGGGAGTTCGTCTTGGCTTCTATTCCAGACGAACGGTTTTGTTGCGTAGTTGGTTTTCGTGGTTTTTCCATGAGTAGCATGAATACGAGCCAGTTTTCCTTTGAAATTCCTCCACGAATTCATTCCCTCCCTTAGGCAGATATCATTTGTACACTTCGTTATATTCGAGTATCCTTAAATAATCATTAAATAATTTTTAAACAGTTTTAAATTTTTTGAAAAATTTTAATTTTGAATTAAGGTTTTGGTCTTTTAATTCAAAGGACTCTTTGATTACTTGTACAATTCATCCAGATATAATTTGATTTCTCTGTTTATAATTCCATTTTCTTTCGGCTGCTCTTTGACAAAGACCGAAGATATTTTTTAATTCTTTAAATTTCATGCGAACTTTGTTTTATTTATGTATTGATTTAATTTTGCTCCAATTTTGTTTTCCATGTTTTTGATTCATTCTTTTGATTTGTGACTTATTGTTACAGAGTTCATCATTTTAGGTTTATATTAACTCCATTTGTTTGAATTCACATGTCTCTCTGTATGTATATATATATGCAAGGAAGAGGAAAGTTCAAAAGCGATTGCTTAAAAGTACATTTGGAAATTAAAATTTTAAAATCAAAAAATACCCTCACTTCCAATATTTCACTTAACATGATCTTTGAGACTAAATCGCGATTTCAAAATACATAAAAATCATATTCTAACCATATTCTAATCATATTCAAAAAAATTTCAATGATTTTTTTCAAGGATTGTATATTTTTCTTCAAGTGAATTTAACTAAATTCAAATAGTGACATTACAGAGCGTGTTAATTTTGTATTTCAATCTCGAAAATGATTGCTTTAAACGGCGACCATTTCGAGAGCATTTTGACATAACTGACGATATATGAAATTGAAGCGCAATTTGTTGGCGACGTTTGGTGCTAAAAACAATTCTTGACCAATAATCTTCTTACAAAATTAATTTTAGTAAGTGTTATAATTTGTTTGCTATTTCACTTTTCAGTCATTTCTAGGATAACCCATATTGATTTTTTACTTTATATTTATTAATTATATACATATGTATAGATTTATATATATCCGTCGATCTGTTTTTTTATATGTGTTAACTTTTCACATATCACATCGATAAGATTAGTTTTTAGTGCATTCACATGTTTTCCAACATTGATTCTAACAGTTTTATTTCGCGTGTAGGCTGTTTTTTCACCTTTCCATGTTAATATTTTTTTAAAAATTACTTCCATGTTAATATTTTAAAAAATACTGCGTTGAACTATTTTATGGAGCCACAGCTCCTGGTAACTTTTTAGCAAGCTCACTAGAATATTTCTTCCTATTATTTCATATTTTTGCAGCATTTTGCGCAAAAAAAAATTTTTAAGTACGTCAAATTACTTGTTAGCTTTTCAATTTATATATATTAATATATATGGCATTGCTTATTAAAAGTTTTTTGTGGTTAAAATTGATCAGATCTATTTTAGTAGAATCTAATGAGTAAGTATTATGTTGCGCTTCTTGTAGTTGTTCTCCATCACAGGTTTAAAATCATAAGCACTCATTAAATGAATCATGAAATAGCTTTAGCACTACTGTTATATTAATAGATGTAATTGTTGCCCCAAAATTTGGCTACTCGGCTTTCCTGAAGTCTATTGCTCTAAAAAAAGAAAAGTCTATAGTAAAATGCTTTATTCAATTTAAAACAAGGGTGCCAAAATTCCTAAATACATATTTGTAGGAATGAATAGAATTACATATTAAACGTTTTTCTCACTTACACATTTCTCCATTTACGTTGACAAATTTTCATGACTAAATACTACTTCACTTTTTGTTAAGATTATTTCACGTTTAATTAGATACCTGCGCAAATTTAATGCAAATAAAGCACATTTAACAACATATAATGACACAATTCTAACTAATCAATGCACTAATCTCTAATATTAAATTGAATTTACATTGTAATTTGATTTTAAATTAATTGTAAATCTCTCATATTAAATTAAATTTTAATTTGAATGAAACACTAGGATAAAAAGTTATTCTGATTACTGAAATGTATTCATATATGCAAAATGTAAATAGCAAATAAATATTTCAAATCAAATTTCTCAATTTTATATTTATACTTATTATATGTATAATAAATTTTAAAAATATTTAGGGAGTCATTGTAAGATATTTTTGCTTGTGAGTCAAAGTTCTATTTAATTTCCTTAACATTCGTATTAAAATACATATATAGTGTGTATATACATACACACACACACATATATATATATAATTTATTTCCTAAACAATATTGATTAATTGATTATATTATCTCCTAAGTTTAATTAAAGTAAAATTATTTTAAAAGAGTATATATATATATATATATATATATATATGTAAAACGTTTATCTTTACATGCATATGCACATGTACTTAAATTTTTATCATAGTTGCACTGTATTCTCTTATTTTAATATAAGCATTTCAAGGTGACAGTATCCATGCTCCTTATTTTCGTTCGTAACATATATGTTGCCATCCCTTCAATGAAATAATTTTTTCTACTCCATGACTGTAACTCATATGAACCTTTAAGTGCGGTGCCGAAATAAAAGGAAAATAGGAAAAACGAATCTCCAGAATCGAAAATCTTTTGCAGCACATGTTACCCTTGTTCACTAGAGAAACTAAATGGGGAAATAGCTACTTGAAAGAAACACAATTCGACATTTTTTGTTTGTAATATTTCATAATTTTATGACCATTTCATTCTTTTCAAATATTTTAACTAGACCAGCATTTCATGATTTAAATAACCATTTTCGTTTCTTTTCTGGCAAGGAAACAAATTTCATTTTTTTATTGTTGATAATGCTATCTGAGAATGCAAAAAAATGAGGTATTTGTATTGCAAACTTCAAAATCTTTAACCAAAAACTATCTGTTAAAAAATCCTTTTTCTTAATTCCATTATATTTTTAGTTCTCGTTTTCTAAATAACAGTTCAATTTGCAACTTATCTAATTTTTGAAAAATTGAAATTTATCTAAAATTTTGATTTTTTTAAAATCAACTCTAACGGCGAAATCTCAAATTGAAGCATTATTCAATAGTACTATTTCAAGATAACATAATTTTACATTAAACCGACCACATAGGATGAAACAGCATCGCTTTTATTAAAGTTTGAGAAAATTTATTATTTCTTGATTATTTAGTTTAAAAAATATTTTTTTTTATTCTTTTAGGTGCTTTCAAAGAAAATCGGGCCACCAGAGAGGTACCTTGCAATATTATTGAAACATATTATAAAAGACTGGTTGAAAAGTGTTTCATTTAGAGAAAAGTATCATAAACAAAAAGGAAAATGTACAACAGAAGGAAGTTTGTAAACAATGGAATAAAAAATTTGTGTATTAGCTTGTACGAAAATACTGTAATTAAAGTTATTAATTGTTCAGTTTGTTTCCTAACTTTCATGAAGACTTGGATTGGTAGAGGATACTTAGCTTAAGCAAATATTGTATCTTATACATTGTATTACTGAATATGAAAATAATTAGTTCATTGAATTTGAATGTTTGATTCTAGAAGAGAAATTTATTACATGAATATGCAATATGGAAATTAATTTCATTACATTTCCTTTAATACTTTTAATTTTGCTTTAAAATTTTATGAAATAATATAAAACTATCAGTTTATAGATTTTGGGAATTTAATGCATTCCTAGTAGCTGAATTAAATTAAAACCTTTTGCAATAAATGCTTCAAATTTTAAATTATGACAATAATTATATTTTAACTGAAAATTGCTTGTTAAGAACCTTATCCATTGACTGGACCATCCACTGAACTAATTTTATAAATCAAATTTATGGCAAAATAATGAATTTGTGAAAGATATATGTCATTTTATTTGTTTATTAACTTTCAAAATACGCCTTCTAACTTTATAAAAAAATTACATGGACAGAAGTAATTTTAACAGAGAACTGTTTAGTACAGTTAAATTGCTTGTAAACAGAACACAAGAAAAAATATTTATTTTTAAAATTTGCATACATTTAAATGCAAACTTTTAAATTTATTTTAATGACAAGAAATATCCAAGCATTCACTTTAAATTCCCATCATCCTGATGCTTTCAGTCTACTGCAATGACAAAAACTCTAGACAGCAGTAGTCTCATATAAAGTTTAAGTACAGTTATTAAACTGGCATATCAGAGCTTATTAGTGTTGAAAGAAAACAATTTGTTTTTAATTTACTGCAAAAAAAGTACCGAGGATTATATTTAATAAGAAATAATTATTTCGTCCAGAATATAATACAGTCTCCCATTAAAATAGTTTGGTGTATATGATCACATGAATAAGGTTTCAGAATTTTGAAAATTGCAATGATTCTGGCCATATATTAAAAATCGTGATTTGCAGTCTGATTCCTTTTCCTTCCAGTGAGAACAATAACTTAATTTCTTGGTTAATTTATTAAACTTAAAATACATTTCTATCATTAGAACTGTAACAAATCTTGTTTTTATATGTAGTTAATAAGAATGGTGTGTAAAACTTCTATGGGAATATAAGGTCTAGATAATATTGCATTGGAGGAATTGCATGTAAATGTAGAGAAAAAGTGTAAAGTTTCATTAATAAATGGCATGTATGTAATGAACTAAGAGAATAGAAAAAAAAATAATAGAATTTGAATTTTGATGCACATATAAAGCATAACATATATTTGTAAATGTAACATTTCAGGCTCAACTCTTCAAACAGATAATGTCTTTTCCAGAAAATTGCAGTGTTCTCTTCCGTTAAAGAAATGTAAATTATTATATGAATTCACTATTTGGAAACTAAGTTTCGCATTAGACGCAAGTATTACAAACACAAATATTTCATGTACTGTTGTCCTTCAGAGTCTGTACATATAGACCGGATTCAGAACGTTCTAGTTAGACGTAACTCAAAACGTTCTAGTTAAACGTGATTCGGAACGTTCTTTGCATGTTATACAGAAGTGTTAACAGTACAAGTATTTGACGTGGTATTGCTCGTCATAAACCTTTAATCTATAGACGACATTCAGAACGTCTGCCCAAACGTTAAGAGAACGTTCTGCTAGCACGTTATAGAAACTTTCAAAGAACGTTCTAGGAACGTTATATAAAATTATTACTAGTACCACATTTTGACGTTCTATTGTCCATTAATGAACTACATCTTACAGACGTAATTCAGAACGTTTTGCCTGAACGTTAAAGAAACGTTCTGCTAGAACGTTAAAGAAACGTTCTGCTAGAACGTTGAAGGAACGTTCTGTTAAAAGGTAACGGAGCTTCCATATAACGTTCAAGGGACGTTTTATAAAATTGTTAGTAACACCATTTTTTGACGTTCTACTACCCGTTATTGAACTGTAACATACTGACGTGATTCACCACGTTCTGCCTGAACGTTAAAGGAACGTTCTGTTAGAACGTTAGAAGAACATTCATAGAACGTTATAAAAAAGTGATAGTAGTACCACTTTTGACGTACTACTGTCCGTTATTGAACTTCAATACATAGACGTGGTTCAGAACGTTCAGGTAAAACGTGTCAAAAACGTTGTACTAGAACGTTAATGACACGTTGCATGAAAGTGTTACAAACACAAGTATTTGACGTGTTATTGCCCGTCTTAGAACTGTAACATGTAGACGGCATTTTGAACGTTCTGCTTGAACGTTCCCGACACGTTTGTGAAGCACTTGCTCTGAACGTTCTTGTGCTAGTTGGGGAATGAAATCAGTTTTTTTTTTTTTTTTACCATGAAGGATTTAAATTTAAAGGAGAATAGAAACAAAACAAAGAGAAAAAAAGGGTCGAAAACATGAGCATTCATAAAACAAATTCGCATGTGCCAAGTGCGATGTTTATTTTATAATTTGGTATCCAAATATACCAAATGCTGCAAATATTCCAAGTGAATATCTTGCACTTTCAAAGGGATATCGATGAAATAATGAGCTGTATTCCTGGAACTAAGTGGATGATAAGAGAATTTTCAAAACGCGCATAAAAGAGTATTTGATATCAAAACAAACAATTGTTAAAGAAAGAAAAATTACTGTTTGCGGAAAATCACTTATCATCCACAAAGCAACTGCATTATTGCCTGCTCATTATGTTGTCGGTATCTTTCTAGATGTGTGATGTTCGTCTTGATGAGAGGTTCTCAGTCGGGGGTAATTTCATAGTTTCAGGAGGGACCGCGATTTGCTTTTTATTTACCTGCTGAGCATTTACTTTTAGTTTATAAACATAGGAAAACTAATTTTATTCAAGTTTTAATATTTATTAATATTTTTTTATATTATTTCTTGTCAATTTATAAAACAAATGAAAAAAATAATCCAAGTTTAAATAAGTGTATGTGTATTTTTCGTGTTACGGAAATTAGGGGAGTGGGAATCATCGCCTATTAGCAATGGTGAAAAGGGTGGGTCCATGAGGCAAAAAAGTACTACATGGTCTAGAGCTTTTAAATAAGTTGCCGTGTGTACTTGGTCACCAAATTATGAAAGAAAAATTCGAGCACACGCAATAATTTTTTTTAAAATTATTCTTATAGCTTATCCATTATTTACAGTTTTCATTTCAAATCTCGTTTAAAATTTTCGTGTAAAGTTTTCCGTAAATTTCGTTAAATGTGGTTGAAACCTCCGCATGTTACACGAAGAAAAAAAAGAAAAAAGAGTAATAATAATAATAAAATCTGAAAGGTTTCGGATTTTAAATTACGTCCAAAGGGGCGTTTTTTTAACGAGTTGTGTGTTACCTTTATTGGTTAAATATCATGTTCTTTGCACTTAAACCATAAAATTCACTTGAATAGCAATGTCGAAAAATAATTTGTAACTGAGCCTTTCTTTAAGAATTTCCGATACACACAGTCTCGCACGCTGGATAAAGATAAAATGTTTTTTCTTTCCTGTACAACGTTGCCATTCGCTCGCTTTGAAATCCTTGAAGTTTATTAATTCAAAAATTCCCGTAAAGTTTTAAGAAAAAAATATGAAATGTTAGACAATAATAAATTGATAATTACAAATTTCAAATTTGAGCTTCCAGATGCCCATATTCGCAGTAGGATTACGTTATTCAAAATTAGATGGCTCTAGGTTCCGTTATTTTTTCACAATGCGAGAAACATTCATGCATTCATTCAAATTCTTCATTATTTAATTTCATTAAATATAATGCAAGGCGATAATGTTTGGTGGCATCAGTTTAAAAAGTGATTCGGCGTTTATAATGAATTATAAACGCCGAATTCATTATAAACTCATTATATATCCGTTTCATTATATATCCGTTTTGGCATTTTGAGAAAATGCCAAAACAAAATTAATAGCCCCTAAAAAACTCGTGAAAAAAATTGCAATTTTTGAAAGAAATTTTCACAGTTTTTCGTTAAATATACATGTTATTCCTACGAACACTGTACATAGTATGCAGTACATTTTGTGAATTACCGACCATTTCTTAATGATTTTAATACAGAATGATACAAAATGTTGTTCCCTTATTTATTTTGTTGTTGGTCATTAGTGACTGATATGTATGTTCAAGCATGTTATTTACACGACCGCATTTACAGAACGACTCGTTTAAAAAAATGTCTAACATCCAAAGTGTCCTAGTGTAGATCTATACCCATTAAATAAAATATAACAATTAATAATTATATTATTATGTTTCAATATTTTCTTTCGAAAATAAGGAGAAAAAAGTCGTTTTCTCTCTCTTAAATTTTTGCTTTCCTCCGCAGCAACTTCCATCAACGTGGGTTGCGATTAATTTGAATTACACACATGTGGGCTGTGAGGCTAGTTTCGATGCGCTGCGTCTACGAACCGACCAAGAAAAAAAGAGCAATCGCCAAATATTGTAGAGGTGTGACTGTAAACAGAGAGTCGAATCTTACAACCCTATTTCAAGGTCATGGTTTATCAGGACTTATTTAGGTTTGCACAACTGTCAAATGATGGCGCCAAGTTGTTGCTTCATTTTTGACGTAAAGGGGTTGTAGAAAAAGAATTCTTTTATGTTCTTGTTTATTTATTTTTGGAATTCGCGGAGAAAACGTGCATTGGTTTTACGTTCATTATTCGTAGATGTCAGCCCGCGACTTTTCTTTTCTTCTACAATATTCATTCTGTTGAATGAAATTCCTCAAAAATTTCTTATCTTTACAAATCTCTCATCGAATGTATCTTCATAATTTTGCTCTT